AGTAAATGGCAGTAATCTCTTATCTTATCTTTGTAGTATATTTATTATCGTTATATTTAGTTATATTGTCGTTTTTCTTCGTCTGGGATTAAGGTTAACTCTATACCCGAGTGTGTGTTAGTGATGGGTATAATATGGTGTGTCTCATAGGCTCTTAGGTTCAGTTCTCCTGTCTAGTGTGTGAGAACTTATCTAATCCGCTTTAGATATGTTATTGTGATGTTGATCAAAATGGCGTCAGACCAGTACTGAGACCTCACTACTGTACAGTATAACTAATGACTAAATTTTTCTACGAGTCTGAGAATTTTGGTCGGGGGAATATGAATTAATGAAGACAAAGGTTAGTTATAATAAACTCTATACTTGGTGATGATCAGCGGTATAAGATAATGTGAATATTATCATTCATAGTTATTGTCACCTGTGGAGGTTTAGTGAGGGAGGGAGGAGCGTGTCGCCATCTGGCAGCAGTCACCACCACACTGCCCCGGGCCGCCAACTGCCGCCACATGACCATCTTGGTGCTGTTAGAGGACTTGTGTGACTATGTGAGGGCGCCAGCCTTCCTGCCGCCGACACTCTGACGATCACACTGATGCCAGATGATCCAAGGCTTTAGTAGTAATGTCAAACAAAAGACGATCATTTATATAGTACTGTAGAATCTCAGGACAATTTCGACACCATTTGATCCTCTAATCTACACCTGTATATATCGTAACGTGGGCCTGTCGCATGCTTCCCCACAGTACCAGAGGGAGGGAGGAGGGGGGATACATTAACATAGGAATGAGTAAACCTTGGACCATAATACTCACAACCAACAAAGAACAGTGCAGTACCACCAGCTCATGAGTCATCCACACAGAGACGAGGGTTTGTGTGTGTTTTTGAGTTACAGATAATAGTGATGGTGTTTCTCGTGACGCAGACAGACAGACACAGACAAACCAACACAGGCAGACAGACAAACAGAACAAAAAGAGACAGACAAGCAGACACAGACAGGCAGATAAGCAAACACAGACAGAAGGGAGGCGGTTGGCTTCGTCGTGGGTTACTTTCCGGGTGAATTGTGTTGTTGTGTTGTGACGTGACGAGTGTTGCGGGCGACAGATGGAGCCACCACTCACTCTTCCTTTACACCCAGTCATAATCTGTACCTATTTCTTATCCACTTATTTGTATTTGACGGTACAGGTAAATACTAATATTATAAACCCATTCAAGACCAGAAGTAATACGCCACTTTTAATATATTTGTAAGAGGCAACATTTTTTTTATACTTAACGTTAAAAGTAATATCCTGTACTTATGATATATTTATAAGTAATTGACGTTATAGATGAAGAGAGACTAAAAGTATTATATTGTTCATTTATGTTTTATTTGAAGGTTTGATGATACTTATAAAGGACGATTCTGCACTTACAAGAACGTTTACTTAAGAGACATTGAAATAATTAGCTCTTGAAGGGTATATTAACTTTAGACATATCCCTCTTGTCGTAGGTAAATATTAACAAATTACTGTACTTTGTGAATTAATTATGTGTATTAGTTTGAGAGATGTGATATTACAATATAGAGTTTATTAAATCAAGTTAATTTAGATACACGGGACTAGAACTTTCTTCCTTGTTAAATATAGTTAATATAAACACATAATAAACAGGGGAAGATATATAATTAAATAAACATCGTCTGGGCCAGGTGTATACTAATTTACAACTATCACCTTACCTTACCTTACCTTACCTTACCTTACCTTACCTTACCTTACCTTACTGATTACTGTACCATTCTGTATCAGTTATATCAAGTAGGTTACAGTATTTAGAGATAAAAGTGTATTGCTGTAACCATTCGTAGTGTGTGTGTGGGGGGGTGAGTGGAGGTGGAGTAGATAGAGGTAGAGTAGGTGGAGAAGGTGGAGTGAAGTGGGTGGAGGTGAAGAAGTGGAGGTGGGAGGGAGGTGGAGTAGGTGGAGGTGGAGTAGGTGGAGGTGGAGTAGGTGGAGGTGAGTAGGTGGGGTTGGAGTAGGTGGAGGTGGGTACGTGCAGATGAAGTAAGTGGAGGTGGAGTACGTGGAGGTGGAGTAGGTGGAGGTGTATTTGTGACAGGTGGAGCTGAAGTGAAAACCTCGTGTATGGTGACAAGTAAGTGGCCTCCCTGCTGGGAAAGTTGGTGACGTTACGTGATGGTACACCACACCACCACACACACACACACACACACACACACACACACACACACACACACACACCAGCCATAGTATACTGTACAATATAACTCATCATTGTCTGAGGCGGTGTGTAGTGTTACCTGTCCAGCGGAAATTACAGGTATTACCAAGTACAATATGTAAGTTTCTCAGTAGTTAAGATGTCGCCCGCACTTCCGCCATACAGATGAATGCATGAAAAAATAGAATCGGACTTTTTTCACTAAATTTCATTATCTACATCTGTGTCACCTACACTGCGTCACCTACACTGCGTCACCAACACTGCGTCACCTACACTGCGTCACCAACACTGCGTCACCTACACTGCGTCACCTTCACTGCGAAACGGCAATAAATCTGAAGTGGACAATATTCAACAAAAAATATTAAATGGACCTTGATTGTGATTTATATATTTGATGATTTTGTTGTCGTGTTGTCATAAAAGTTCTTAACACCCATTAGCAGGTTGGTTATTAATGTGAATTAGTTAAATAAATTGGGACCACCTGAAGATTAACCCCCCCAGCTTATTTCACTTTAAGATTAACCCAGCCCAGCCCAACCCAACCCAACCCAACCCAAGCAAGCAAGCAAGCAAGCAAGCAAGCAAGCAGCATGAGTTTTCTTATAATCACCAAATTAAATGAAAGTCGAGGTTGCTAATCTTCATGTGAACCAAAACTTGTTACAAAATAAACCGTGGGAGGAGTTTGAGTAGTATGAGTCAGCTTTTTTTTTTATATCTAGAGTGAGGTGCTATCTGACTGCTGGCTGGAGGAGGCACTGGAGTGACCACTTTCACAGGCTGGTGGCAGTAGCCCTCGTCTGGGTAGTGAGACAGGTGGACAGAGGAGGAGGATGGAAGGATTAGGACTGGGTAAGAGAGTGTAGGATTAGGACTGGGGAAGGAGACTGTAGGATTGTGATTTAGGTTGGGTTTGGGGGTGTGGATGAGGGGGGGGGTCGGTCCAACCCTACAGAGGAAAGGGAAAGAATGGAGGAAGAGGAGGAGGGGGTAGCAGAGGAAGGAAAGAAAGGAGTAGAAGGAAAGGGAGGAGGAGATATAGGTGGGAGATAAGAGAAGGACGAAAGGGGGAAAAAGAAGGGCGAAGGATAAAAAAGGAGAGGAATAGGAAGGACAGAAGGAGAAATAAAGGAAGAACAGGAGATGGAGGAAGATGGTGAAAGATTATTATATTTAGTAGTAAGTTATGATGTGGACAACTGCCTGAGGCACCACTTAGAGTCATCAGGGAGGAGTAAACCATATTTTAGTTTACCCAGTAGTGTGTGTGTGTGTGTGTGTGTGTGTGTGTGTGTGTGTGTATACTGGATGATTCGTAGCACTTCACTCTCTTGATGATCCCGTGTTTGTGTGGTTGTCAAGTGTTACCTCTGCATTTTCTACGATATTTTAATAATTTTATTTATCGGAATGAAAATTTGTCAGAGTTTATGACCAGAATTAATCACGTTTCAACATCGGATGATCTTATTAAGTAATTATTGTTAGTGTATTTGTTGTTTTAGGTAGGTAATGATGACAAGTTGCTCGAGTTGTGTAATGTGTATGTCTCCAGCTGTCATAAATGTGTGTGTGTTATTTTAGTTGTGTTTGTTAATGCGTCCAGGCGTCCTGTAGTCTATTGTTAGGTTGTGAGTTTAAATAAAAGTTTAGGTAAGCTTAAAGTTGTCCTGCGGTGCTCTATTCGTGTCCAGTCTTTACATGTCTAATTGTTAATGACTTGCCTTGGGCCGCTGTCTGAGGCACTCCCACTCACTCGTGTTATTTTCTAATATTTTACGTGAATATTTGTTTAGAATTATTTTTACTGACAGGCCATTGTGTGTCTGGGGTACCCACACATTTTCTCAGACGATGGCTCTCGCTTGCGACAGACTCATATGAAACACTCCTTTAATAAGTGAGAATTAGTGTAGCTATATGAGGCATCCCTCCTCACGCCCTCATTCTTCCCTGCAGCTCAACAAGGACCTCATTAGTCTCCACCCACGTTTTTTACGTTTTATGCAATTCCAAGTATTTTTTTTACACATCATTGGGGCGGACGTAATTTTAACAGACTGGTGAAGGCGTTTTCTCCAGAGGGGGAGGAGACGGGGCGCGTGGGTTGGGAAGCGGACCCGGAGGGGAGGCGGGTGTCAGTAGTACCAGCTAACCTTTGACTAACCACAAACGGGGCATTTTTTACGTTCCTGGTGTAGTGTAGAGCCAGTCGTAAGTGCTTTGGCGTTTTAGTTATCAGTGGATATTTTAGATCACCAATAAGAACAGGAACAGTGGGGACGGTGTGGTGAGCGCCGTGGTTGCCTCTAGCAGGGAAATGTATTCATTCACACAGTCGCAGGTGGAGCCACGTTCAGGTAGTTGGACAAGACAAGTACACATGTACATAGATGCAAACACTAGTATCCTCAATTCCCTGATAAAAAAAAACCCAGATAGTGGTCTCAGGTAAGGTACAGGTGTTTGGTAGTAGTGTCATGTAAGGTACAGGTGTGTCTGGCAGTCGTCGCAGATGAGTAAGAGGTGACTGGTACAACTGGTATAGGCGTCTCAGGTAAGATACTGTACAGGTGGGAATCATCTTAGACTGTGAGATGGAGTAAAAGTAATGCTGGAGTGTCAAGCTTGTCTTTGTTGTATCTGGTGATAGTGTGTAGCGGTGACTTGTATTTACCATCGTGTGGGTGTAACCTGTGTATTGTTCTCTGTGTATAACGATGTTTCTTTTATCTTCACAGGCCTTCGTGTGGCGAGGACAATGATGAAGGATAAGGGCTAACAGGTGAGTGGTGATTCCTGCTACTGTGTGTGTGTGTGTGTGTGTGTGTGTGTGTGTGTGTGTGTGTGTGTGTGTCGAGAGAGAGAGAAATAGTCATCCTTAGACGATTTAGTTCGGGTAGTTTAGGTTTTTTAGGTTAGGTCTAAAACAAGACTATCAGAAACTTTCAAAACCACACCACAGGAACGTTCACAACAACACCCTAGAAACGTTCACAAAAAGACAACAGAAACATTCAAAACAAAACCCTAAAAAAAAACGTTTAGAACATCACATAAACGTCCAAATAATCACATAAACGGTCAAGACATCACAATAAACGGTCAAGACATCACAATAAACGTTCAAGACATCACAATAAACGTTCAAGACATCACAATAAACGTTCAAGACATCACAATAAACGTTCATATCATCACCCTAGGTCTCACTCACCACCACAGCCTCATCAGTAAGCCAGAGGAGATGGACAGCTGTTGAACCTCGCGGGGACTCAGGTGTAACAACAGGACGTCAATACCCTTGTAAACACACTGCTGGTACACCTACGTCACACACACTGCTGGTACACCCACGTCACACACCGCTGGTACACCTACGTCACACACTGCTGGTACACCCACGTCACACACTGCTGGTACACCTACGTCACACACTGCTGGTACACCTACGTCACACACTGCTGGTACACTACGTCACACACTGCTGGTACACCAACGTCACACACTGCTGGTACACCTACGTCACACACTGCTGGTACACCAACGTCACACACTGCTGGTACACCTACGACACACACACATGTTGGTACACCTACGTCACACACTGCTGGTACACCTACGTCACACACTGCTGGTACACACGTCATACACTGCTGGTACACCTACGACACACACCGCTGGTACACCTACGACACACCGCTGGTACACCTACGTCACACACCGCTGATACACCTACGTCACACACTGCTGGTACACCTACGTCACACACCGCTGGTACACCTACGCACACACACTGCTGGTACACCTACGACACACACTGCTGGTACACCTACGTCACACACTGCTGGTACACCTACGTCACACACTGCTGGTACACTTACGTCACACACCGCTGGTACAACTACGTCACACACTGCTGGTACACCACGACACACACTGCTGGTACACCTACGTCACACACTGCTGGTACACCACGTCAACACTGCTGGTACACCTACGTCACACACCGCTGGTACACCTACGTCACACACTGCTGGTACACCTACGTCATACACTACTGGTACACCTACGTCACACACTGCTGGTACACCTACGTCACACACTGCTGGTACACCCACGTCACACACTGCTGGTACACCTACGTCACACACTGCTGGTACACCTACGTCATACACTACTGGTACACCTACGTCACACACTGCTGGTACACCCACGTCACACACTGCTGGTGCACCTACGTCACCACTGCTGGTACACCTACGTCATACACTACTGGTACACCCACGTCACACACTGCTGGTACACCTACGTCACACACTGCTGGTGCACCTACGTCACACACTGCTGGTACACCTACGTCACACACCTGCTGGTACACCTACGTCACACACTGCTGGTACACCCACGTCATACACTGCTGGTACACCTACGTCACACCTGCTGGTGCACCTACGTCACACATGCTGGTACACCTACGTCATACACCACTGGCAATACCGTCACACACTGCTGGTACACCTACGTCACACACTACTGGTACACCTACGTCACACACTGCTGATACCTACGTCACAAAATTACCGGTACACCTACGTCACACACTGCTGATAACCTACGTCACACACTGCTGGTACACCTACGTCACACACTGCTGATACACTTACTCATACACTGCTGGTACACCTACGACACACTGCTGGTACACCTACGTCACACACTGCTGGTACACCTACGTCACACACTGCTGGTACACTTACGTCATACACTGCTGGTACACCCATAGACACACACTGCTGGTACACCTACGACACACCGCTGGTACACCTACGTCACACACTGCTGATACACCTACGTCACACACTGCTGGTACACCCACGTCACACACTGCTGGTACACCTACGACACACACTGCTGGTACACCTACGACACACACTGCTGGTACACCTACGTCACACACACTGCTGGTACACCTACGTCACACACCGCTGGTACACTTACGTCACACACTGCTGGTACACCTACGTCACACACCGCTGGTACACCTACGACATACACCGCTGGTACACCACGACACACACCGCTGGTACACCTACGACACACACCGCTGGTACACCTACGTCACACACTGCTGATACACCTACGTCACACACTGCTGGTACACCTACGTCACACACTGCTGGTACACCTACGACACACACCGCTGGTACACCTACGACACACACTGCTGGTACACCACGT